CTATCCCGGACTGCTTTTAAAATGCTGGCGGTGGGGAGCAAAGCCTTTCGGCCCCCGCCGGCCTTCCTGGACCTCTTCTGAAGGCCGGGGGGGGAAGGCTTTGCTCCCCACCGCCAGCATTTAAAAGAGGTCCCCGGAGATTTCCCTATGGGCTTTCTTCTTGCGAAGCAAGCCCATAGGGAAATTCGTCTTGCGAAGCAACTCGCAAACGGAAAACCCTTTCGTCTTGCGGGTTTTCCGTCTTGCGAGGCATTCGTCTTGCGGGGCACCACTGTAGACTACTACCCTTAAGATAATTAAAAACACTTCTTTCTTTCTTTTTAATATAATTTTTAATAACAAACCAATCAAATGACATTAGTTCCAAATTACAAAGCCAAATTTTTAAATTTTTGTTGGGGTACCCATGCTACGAGCTCAGAAAGGGATCCAAACATCTCTCTTGCTGCTGATTTAATGTTACAGTTCTGTCCAAATAGTATTCACAGTTCTATCCAATCTTATCTTTATTGTTTCCCTCATTTTCTTGTTGTTGTCATATATTCCTTTCTTTGTGACCTCTGATAGGCTCCACAAGCGGGTTGAAAACAGACGTTGTTTATCCCGTGTGGATTTCCCGTTCCTCCAAGAGCCTTATACAAACAGACAGACACCATTTCCACACTTTCGAACAAAACATTCTTAAAGTCTGCCCATTAAATCCTCGCAGGCCTGTCAGTCTCTCCTCAATCTTCTTAGGGGGTTCTGCCAGGTCGAACTCACATTCCAATACCATGGTCTCCTCCCCCTCGATCATAAATCCAGTAGCCAGGCCTGCTTATTAAACAAGTCTCTTTTTATGACTGCGTCATTCCGAAGGCTCTTCCCCGATGTTTCACAAACCATGTCTTTGATTAGTACTTCATTTCCACACAGTACTTAATTAGTACTTCATTTCCACACAGTTCTTAATCATCCCACTTATAATAATAAATAATAATAATAAATTTTATTTATATCCCGCCCTCCCCAGCCTTAGCCGGGCTCAGGGCGGCTAACAACAATAAAACAGTACAAAAGTACAGCATAAACAACACTCTAAAACCATTCATTCTAAAATTAATTAATTCAAGCCACTGGCAGCCATTGGGCCAGAGCTCCGCGAAGATTGCCAAAGGAGGGAGTCAGGCTGTGCCCTGGCCAAAGGCCTGGTGGAACAGCTCTGTCTTGCAGGCCCTGCGGAAAGATGTCAAGTCCCGCAGGGCCCTGGTCTTTTGTGACAGAGTGTTCCACCAGATCGGAGCCACAGCCGAAAAAGCCCTGGCTCTCGTTGAGGCCAGCCTAACTTCTCTGTGGCCTGGGACCTTCAAGATGTTTTTATTTGAGGACCGTAAGTTTCTCTGTGGGGCATACCAGGAGAGGCGGTCCCGTAGGTACGAGGGTCCTAAGCCGTATAGGGCTTTAAAGGTTAAAACCAGCACCTTAAACCTGATCCTGTACTCCACCGGGAGCCAGTGCAGCTGGTATAGCACCGGGTGAATGTGATCTCGCAGCGAAGACCTCGTAAGGAGTCTCGCTGCAGCATTCTGCACCCGCTGGAGTTTCTGGGTCAGTCTCAAGGGCAGCCCCACGTAGAGCGAGTTACAATAATCCAGTCTGGAGGTGACCGTCGCGTGGATCACAGTGGCTAGGTCAGGGCGAGAGAGGTAAGGAGCCAACTGCTTAACTTGGCGGAGATGGAAAAATGCCGCCTTTGTTATAGCTGCAATCTGCGCCTCCATGGAAAGGGAGGTGTCGAAGATTACACCCAAACTCTTAACGGACGGTGCTGGCACTAATTGCGCCCCCGCAAGAGATGGGAGTTGCCCCCCCAATCCCATATCGCCCCGTCCCAGCCACAGGACCTCTGTCTTCGAAGGATTTAGCTTCAACCGGCTCCCACGTAACCATCCAGCCACAGCTTCCAAACATCTGGTCAGTGTATCTGGGGCCGAGTGAGGATGGCCATCCATCAACAGATAGAGTTGGGTGTCATCAGCATACTGATGGCAACCCAGCCCCAAACTCCGAACAAGCTGGGCGAGGGGCGCATAAAGATGTTGAAAAGCATCGGGGAGAGTATCGCACCCTGAGGTACTCCACATACCAAGGAGTGGCGCGATGACAATTCCCCCCCAAGCGCCACCCTCTGTCCCCGACCAGAGAGAAACGAGCGCAGCCATTGAAGGACTGTGCCCTGGATCCCCACGTCGGCAAGGCGGTGGTCCAGAGATTCATGATCAACCATGTCGAAAGCTGCTGACAGATCTAGAAGAATCAGCAGCCCCGACCCGCCTCGATCCAGCTGTCTACGAAGATCATCTGTTAGGGCAACCAGAGCCGTCTCGGTCCCATGACCAGCGCGGAAGCCGGACTGGAATGGATCCAGAGCCGATGTTTCATCCAGAAACCCACCAAGCTGTTCAGCAACCGCTCTCTCAATCACCTTAACCAGGAACGGAAGATTCGAAACCGGGCGGTAATTGGATAGATCTAAAGGATCTAATGATGTTTTCTTTAAGAGCGGGCGCACCACTGCCGCCTTCAGTTCCCCTGGGAATGTCCCCGTGCCAAGGGACAAATTGATGATATCCCCCAGGAGGGCCCGCACCTCGTCTGGACACGCTCTAATCAGCCAAGACGGGCACGGGTCAAGAGGACAGGTGGTGGGCTTTCCACACAAGCCAGGTCGACCCCTGTGAGATAAAGAAATCTCGCAGGGTGGCGGTTTTATTGCCTATAGACCTGGCATTGCACAGCACCAGTGACGGAGGTGAGTAATCCTTGCTCACCCTACCCTCGTCCCTCGGGATGGGGCGCAGATTGGAAGGGGTACGAGCATATCCATATCTTGATCCCCTTCGCCTATAACATCTGCCCCCACCGCCATACCTCCCTCGCCCCTCCACGGTAGCAATCCCAGGCCTCATAGTAGCCTCCATTGATGGCAATTAGTGTTATTCTTTCGCAGCCTAAACAATAAAACCTTAAAACAATAAAAACAAAAAACAAAAACAACCCAGAAAACAATAAAACAATACAAGTAACAACTGCAAAAATTACAAAATCAACAAAATCTAAACAAATTCCCAAGCCACCCACACATCCATCCCACCCCCCATACTATAAAAATCTAAAAGAAAAGGGAAATTTTAAAACATGTTAAAACATGTTTAAAAAAACTCTGCACCCCACGGGTCCTCCTGGGCAGGAGCAAGCATCAGTGGCAACAAACCATCCTTGTGGAGGCCCCACCCTGGGCCAGATAGTAAGTGGCAGGAGCAGTCCTTGCGAGGCCTGTCAGGCCCTCCCTGGGCCAGGTGGAAAGTGGCAAGAAGGAGCAGGGCCCTCAGGCACTCACGCAGAGAGTCTTCCTGGGCAGCGGCAGCAAGAAGCACACAGTCCTTATGAGGCTTCAGGCCCCGCCCCAGGCCAGATGGTAAGTGGCAAGAGCAGGGCCCTCAGGCACTCACCACAGGGGAGTCTTCCTGGGCAGCGGCAGCAAGCAGCACGCAGTCCTTATGAGGCTTCAGGCCCGCCCCAGGCCAGATGGTAAGTGGCAAGAGCAGGGTCCTCAGGCACTCACCACAGGGGAGTCTTCCTGGTGGATTATAATCAGTAATTGCAACGGTTCTTCTTGGGGGGAGGGTTGTTAGGTAATCACATAAGATCAAAGAAAAGAAAAGGTCCCCCCCCATTCCGTCCCATTCCGACATACCGACCCTTTGATGTATCTTCTTCTTGTTATGTTTTCTTCTTGGTTATGTTAAGAGCCAGTGTGGTGTAGTGGTTAAGAGCAGTAGATTTGTAATCTGGGGAACCGGGTTCGCGTCTCCGCTCCTCCACATGCAGCTGCTGGGTGACCTTGGGCCAGTCACACTTCTTTGAAGTCTCTCAGCCCCACTCACCTCACAGAGTGTTTGTTGTGGGGGAGGAAGGGAAAGGAGAATGTTAGCCTCTTTGAGACTCCTTAAAGGGAGTGAAAGGCGGGATATCAAATCCAAACTCTTCTTCTTCTTCTCTTCTTTCCTGTTAAATCCAAGCAATTGCTCCACTTCACAGAGGTCACTTCAATTAGCAATCTTAACTCCCGTTCTTCGCTCGAAATATGTGCATTTGCTTCTCTCTAATTGTTTATTTTGAGCTCCTGCAACCAGGCCGCGCAATCAGAGACAGCGTCAGGGAGAGCCGTCCCACACGGGTGCTGTGCGCCTAGTGCCTTCACCCCCTTCTTTTGAACTCGGGGGTGATTTATGGCAACCGCAGGCGAGGCAGTGTTCCCCATTCCCTTGGGGTAACAAGGAGGCTGCATACTCCCATATCAGCCTCTTAATTACCTCGTGTGAGTCGGGAGAGATGGTATTGTCAGCCATCTTCCAATGCGCCCCTAGCGGGCCCCCAAGATAATTAAAACACTTCTTAACACTTCTTAACACTCTTAATCCTGCCAACCTAGTGGTTTGAAAGCACACCAGCACAAGTAGATAAATAGGTACCGCTGTGGCACACGGTAAATGGCGTTTCCGTGCGCTCTGGCTCCCGTCACGGTGTCCCGTGATGCCAGAAGCGGTTTAGTCCTGCTGGGCCACATGACCCGGAAAGCTGCCTGTGGACAAACGCCGGCTCCCTTGGCCTGAAAGAGAGATGAGCGCCGCAACCCCATAGTCACCATTGACTGGACTTAACCATCCTTTACTTACACCTACCACTAGTTCAGACATCATGAGAGCATATGTGGAAATAAGATTTTTATTTGTTTTGCCTCAACATGCATCGCTTTACACTTGTTTGCGTTGAATTGCGTTTGCGATTTTACCGCCCATTCACGGAGCGTGGAGAGGTCCTATTGGAGCTCTTCACAATCTCTTTTTGGTTTAGCACCTGTCAATTTAGTATCATCAGCAAACACGGCCACCTCACTGCTCACTCCTTTCTCTAGATCAATTATGAACAAATTAAAAGCAGCAATCCCCAATACCAATTTGCGGGGATTCCACTTTCTACATCTCTCCATTGGAAAAACTGTCCGTTCCTCTGACCTCTCTTTTTCTACCACGCTCAGGAAACATGGCCCAAGTTGGTTCAGGGAAGACGGTTCTTTTCCACCAGGAAGACCCAAAAGGTCTCACCTACCGCATCCCAGCTCTCCTCTACCTGCCGTCTGAGTCTACTTTCCTGGCATTTGCTGAGGAGCGCTCAACGCCCAGAGACGAAAATGCCAAGTTCCTGGTGATGAGACGAGGGGCGGAAGGAAGGAATGTCTGTTCAGGTAACACCAAGAGCAGAAAGCGTAACCGAGCTATATTTCATTCCATAATTCTCTTCTTTCTTCCTATATACATAAAATGTAAGGCTGTCATCACACAGCAGTTCATGTGGCCACCAATATGTGGCCAAACCAACTCCAGTGTGAAAAACAGGGTGGCAGGTGGTCCAGGTGAGTCTGTTTAATGGGTGCTTCTGTGAAAGTTCCTGGTGACAAGGTGTGTCCAGGTAACACCAGGTGCAGGAAAATGTAACTGTGCTTTTCCTGATTTGTCATTCTGTGTAGCATTTGAGTTGGGTTCCAGGTACAAAAGTATTGCCAGGAAAGAGGATTGGCTTGGAACTGACCGCCAAGGAAGTGTCTTGAAATCATTGTGGACAGCTTATCTGACTCCTTTCAATCTGAAATGTTAGTTGACCTGGCATGTCCTGGTGTTTTGTTTTAAACTCATCTACTTTTTATTAATGTTTTAAGTGGCAATTTAACAGAGAATAAATGAATAAATGTATAGAAATAATATTAGTACCAATATTAGTAACCAATAATCATTTGAACTGTGGCAGAATTCCAGAAAATTCCAGAATGGCTTCATTGGTAAACACCTCTTGCTTAAATGCTATGACACATTGCCAGCTCACATACCTGCGTCATGAAAATGGATTCTGTTTCCTCTGCCTCCACGAACTCCCCGCTGCCGCTAAACATCTCACCCTCACACATCATGAATTTGCAATATATTGCCAGGTCAAAATTATGAAACCAAAATCAGGATATGGACCTGGAAACCGGTTTTTGAGGGTTTCCATCCAGCCCTAACACACATCATGATTCATGATATATTGTCAGGGCAAAAGCTATTAAACCGATATCACGCTATAGACTTCAAACCGGTTTTGGATGATATAGGGATACATCACCTGGCTCTAGTGAGAGAACCACCGACTAACTACTCCATCTTTCTTCCCTTCTAGTGGGGTCCTCAGACGTCTCTGATGGAAGCCACGTTGGCCAACCATCGCACCATGAACCCTTGCCCCATTCTCGAGAGGAAGAGTGGACGCGTTTTCCTGTTCTTCATCTGCGTGGAGACCCACGTGACGGAACGGCAGCAGATCTTCACAGGGAGGAACGCCGCTCGGCTCTGCTACGTCGTCAGCCAAGATGGCGGCCGCACCTGGAGCCAGACGACCGACCTGACGGAGCAGGTGATTGGCAAACATTTGAGGAACTGGGCCACCTTTGCGGTTGGGCCTGGGCACGGCCTGCAGCTGAGTTCCGGGCGCCTGGTGATCCCAGCTTACGCCTACTACATCCACAAGCGATGTTTCGGGCACGCGCTCAACTGCTGGACCAGACCTCATTCCTTGGCGTTCTACAGCGATGACGGCGGGCAGAGTTGGGCCCGAGGACAGCTCCTGATGCACTTGAACACATCCGAGTGCCAAGTTGCGGAGCTGACCTGCCGGGACGATATCCAAGTGCTGTACTGCAACTCCCGCAGCCCGGACAGGTACCGGGCCGAAGCTTTCAGCACAGATGGCGGAGAACACTTTGAGGAAGGGTACCTGTCCAAGGACTTGTGCGAGCCGCCCAGTGGGTGCCAGGGCAGCGTGGTGAGCTTCTTCCCTCAGCCGGAGGGCAGCTCTCGCTCCTCTCTGGCCTCGTTCAGCAGCACAAAGTCCTGGCTGTGTACTCG